GAATATTTTGCACTACAATTGGATGAAAGTACAGAAAAACCCCGCTTAACACGGGGGGATACGTTCCATCAAAGCAGAGCGTAATGCGAAACAGCGCTAAACGAGGCTATCTTAACATGTAAATAATGGGGTTAGGGGAAGATGGATAGAAAATTGGTTAGGTATTAAATTTAATAATGTTTTTTTAATAAAAATAAAACCAAACATTTATTTAAGAAAAAAAAAAACCAATATAAACTTGAATATACTTATAAAAACAAATAAAACATGTTAAAATAGCTCAGTCAAGTCAGATCATTCAGTTCTATTCATTGTGTTTCCAATTTTCTGCCTTTTTGTCAAGAAGGCATCTAATGTAGTTTGCGTTTTCTTTTTGCATTCTGTTAGAAGTTGTTGATAAGTGGATAAAGCATCTGGTAACACCTCGTCTTGCTTTTGAACTCCTGTCAAAATTTGGATCAGTTTTCAACAAATTGGTCCATAATTTCAGTTATAGTGGTCAAACTCCTTTTTACAAACAAACACCATCGAAAATTCTTTTTGCTCGAAAGTTCTTCTTCAAAATCACTATACTATCAATATTTTTGTTTTCTTCTTGCTCAGTTAATTCCTTGAGCTCATCATTAGAAAGACTAGCTGCTGTTTCTTGAACTATTTCTTCAATGTCTTCCACATTTACCTCATCTAAACCGGTTTGTTTCACTAATTCCACTATTTCATCTATATCGACAGAATGTCCTATGTCTTCGCTCTTACATAAATCTGGCCAAATGTTCTTCCATACTCCTTTCAAAGATCTTTCTGTTATCTCATTCCAAGAAAGGTTTGTTTTCTGCAGCATTCATGATATTGTAGTTTTTCCAAAATTCTCTTATTGATTGCTTCTCTTCCCTGTCTGTTTTTTCAAACATCTGCTTAAATGTTCGCCGCAAGTAATAAGCCTTAAAATTGGATATAATGCCTTGGTCCATTGGTTGGATTAAGGCAATTGTGTTAGGCGGCAAGAAAACCACTTTGACTGGAATGCATGTTCTTAAGTCTGATAAATTTGTTGGGTGGCTTTTAGCATTATCAATTAATAGTAGTACTTCTTTGTTCAAGTTTTTTAATTTCGCAATATCGTTTAACAGACAGACAGAAATGTTCAGTGAACCAATCCTGGAAAATTTTCATAGTTATCCATGATTTTTTATTAGACTCCCAAAGTACAGGTAAAGTTGATTTAGATATGCCTTTCATCACTCTTGTGTTTTTGGAAGTGGTAAATTAGTAAGTGGTTTTTAATTTGAAATCTCCGCTTGCGTTACCACCTAGTAGAAGGGTTAAGCGATCTTTTGCAGCTTTAAATCTTGATGCTCGCTTCTCTTCATGGGATAGAAATGTTCGTTTTGGCATTCTTTTCCAAAACAGGCCTGTTTCATCAACATTAAAAACCAATTCTGGAGATAGCTTCCTTGTTCAATTATTGTTTTTAATGTTGCTGGAAATTCAGCCGCCGCTTTCATATCACCACTTGCTGCTTCTCCTGTAATCTTTATGTTGTGAAAATTATTTTGATGTTTAAATCTATTAAACCATCCTCGAATAGCAAGGAAAGTTTCACTTATGTCACTTGCGTCAGCTTGAATGTAATTAAAAATTCTTCTAGCTTTTTCCATAGATTGGCTTAACGGCATATTGTGTTCAATTTCGTCATCAATCCATATAGACAGTCATTTTTCCATTTCCTCTATAATGTTATTTCTAGAACGGGTAATTCTAGTTGCAGAGCTTGACGCAGTTGCCGAAGACGTATTCTTTATTCTTAAGAATTGTCCTTATTGTTCAAGTTGCCAAATTCAATGCAGCACTAATTTGAGATTGACGTTCACCAGAATCTAATCTTCTAATCACTTGCATTTTAGTTTCCATTCCATTTCATTTTGATATGCTTTTTCTGGTTGCTTTCTTTTCTTGCTTTTTTATTATCACCCATGATAAAAACTAAAGATAATAATATTTGTCACTGTATTAATCATTATAGTATTATATAAATTTATACTTACAATAATGTCAACAAATGTTCCAAATGATAAAAATGCGTCCATACAGCACTGCACCAAACAACAAACACAACTACACTGTTTCAGATATGTTATTTGGAAACCTAACGCTGTGACAATTTCAGAAAATCCCCATAGTGATGCGAGCAATTTCGGGGAATACCCGGTTTGAAATAAAAGAGCGCTAACAAAACAGCGTTAAGCGGGTCTTACTGTACTGATATAATGAACTTTGTTTATTTATTAGTTTACATACATTTTGAAAAATAGAAATGAATTGCCTGACATTTTCAAAGTAACTGACAATTTTATGTCTGAGAATGATTGTTGTTGGAATAACTGTGTTGCCATATGCAGAGATGGAAGCTTTAACATTCCGGTGTTTTTTCTCAAATAAAGAACGTCACACCTGAAACTAAATTTACTCATTACTGCATTCATCGTGAAGCTTTAGTAGCCAAAACAATTCCCCAAAACCTGGAAATCGTTTTGAATCAAGCTGAGAACATTGTTAATTTTACTTAAAGCCGAGTTTTCAATTCAAGAATATTTGCAATTTTATGCCAAGAAATGGGCAGTTGGATATGAAATGCTTTTGTTATATTTCGAAGTAAGGTTCAGAGGCAAAATTTTAAGTTGTCTTTTTGAACTTCAATCACAAATTAAAATTTTCCTTTTAATTCAAAATTTGAATTGTAAAAATGTTTATTTAGTAAATTATGGTTGGCATGTTTAGAATATTTAGCTGATATTTTTGGAAAGTTAAAGGAATTAAATTTAGGATTACAAGGACAAAGTGTTAATTTGTTTACCATTAGAGATAAAATAAATGTAATGATAGAAAAATTCAAGCTAATAATAAAAGAATTGGATAATAATATTAGAAGCCTTTTACCACTTTTAAAAAGTTTCCTATCCGAAAATAATTTGAAACTAAAAGAAAAATTAGCATCCGATATTAAAAATAATTGTTTACCATTGATAAATAATTTCTACATGTATTTTCCCGAGGATTGTGAAAAAGAAAATTGGATTAGAAATTCATTAGTGTAACTGAAATTTTATCTCATGAAGAAAAAAAATAATTAATAGAAATTTTCTGTTATCGAACTCTAACTGAAGATTTCAAAAATAACAAATTTGTTAAATTTGGCTGAACTGAAAAAAAGAATTTACAGGTATTTCAAATAAAGCTATTAAATTTTTATTGCCCTTTTGCTCCTATTTGTTTGAACAAGGATTATCTTCCATGTTATATATGAAAAATAAATACAGAACAAAAATTAAAAGTGGATCTTAATTTATGGTTAAAACTAAATGAATTAAGATCATACATAAAGAAATTGATCTCTCTTAAACAAGCCCAATTTCACATTAAATTTCAGACTAAATTATTGTAACTTAAATTTTAATAATTAAAATGGCAACCAATTTTTAATCTAATATTTTTAGGTGTACATATTTAATATAAATAACCAATTGCTTGTGCAAATAACAAAATACTATTTTTAAAAGATTTCTATTGAGAAACTGAAAAATAATCATTGTAAAATGTAGTGGTGGTACTAAAGATTTCAATTTTTGTTTAGATAGTATGCATTAGTCAAAAAGTTGAGAACCGCCAATCTAAGTGATATTTACCTACAGAAAGTAGCAACCCATTTTATGAGATAACTGGTTGAAAGATTAGACATGTATGTTTCAAAAAGAAACAGCGTTTCGATTCTTACAGCAGACCTACACTGAAATGGTGAATAATTTTCTCTTCTCCATTACAGTTAGTTCTGTGGTTGGATTTTGAAATGACAACTGAACTGAATAACTGATACCACCTATCATAAGTAAAATTCCATAGTTTTTTTAAAGTTCATAAATATGATAAAATCTACTATGGAATATAAAGTAAGTTTTAAGCAATGAAAGAACATAATATTTTTCCTTCTTTTAACCCTTTCAGCAATGAATTTAATTTTAAAACTGTAATGGTCAGTATTAGACATATGAAATATGTTATATACTGACCATTACAGTTTTAAAATTAAATTCATTGCTGAAAATAAAATCTATAAAAAGTTGATCAGATTAAATTAAATATATAAAAAGTTGTAAATAATATTAATAAAAATAATATTAACTTAAATTAAATATATAAAAAGTTGATCAGATTTAAAGAATATAGGTAATCAAACAAGGTCATTCTTTGTTGTTATTCTAAAGTATAAAGTATAATTCTGCTAGATTATATATAAGTAAATATGCATAATGTAGCAGAACACATTATGGTTGTACAATATAGTAATTAAATATTATATAATGCAGCAAAAGGCAATTCAAGTTTAAGGTGAAAAACCATCCTAAATGAAATGCAAACAATGTAAATGGGTAGTCATTTTTTTGCTTATTGGCAATTAGAAGCTGGTTCTTGTTCACAGAGAGTTCAAGCAAGTGTGAACGTAAATTAGAGTTCCGTACATCAGTTAGTTCCACTGGATTTGGTGGGAAGCAAATATGAAGGAGCCATAATGGCAAATGCAGCTTATGAACTGTGAATTTAACCACGTGCTTTACAACATCATACAAATCTGCAAATAATTTTCTACATGAAAATCATTCTGCATCACTAATGCTAATGTTTCCTTATTTATCAAGACAAATAATTTTTTTTAAAATCATTTCATATCCAATACTTTTAAATTTTAACACTACCAAATCCATGGTTTATAAAATCTTCAATTTATCACAAATTATGAAAACCATTTCTTCACCTTATTCTTAGTGTAATGATTTAAAAAAAGTTAATTAGATGGCTTTTTTATAATTTTTGATACATCAAAACAGGTAGCTTTCAAAAATTAACCTCTTTTTCCCAGAGCAGAGAAAAGGCATATTACTAACCTACAAAATGTTTTAAATTCTACTCATTTTAAAAATCACCTATATTTCTAAAAATATACTTACATTTAATAAAATAGTTCAGCAAAGCTTCTTTATGGTCATCAACTATTTTTTTGCATCTCTCCTCAGCCTCATAACCTTCATATTTTATGCAATCAAGTTTTCTTCGCCCTAAAAGGGCTACTATTTGACCATCAACAGCCCTAATACAGAAATATGTACATTATAAAATTTGGAACAAATTTCAATACAGTCATAAAATTATATTTATTTGACGTACATGCTTATTTAATAGCAAGAAGAAAGCTAATAAAAATCTGAAAATTTATCTAAGTGAATTAAATCTACATTCGTTTTTAAACTATCCCATTTTACATTTATGTATTGATTACAATACTCATATCATGATTAGACTGTTCCTTGGAAATCTTTTAAGTGAAGTGTGTCAAGGCATGTCTGCAGTTTAGCTTAAATATTCCCCGTACATTCAAAATGTCAATTCTTTAGATTCTGCTATTGGGGTAAAATATCTTAAGAATGCCAAATCTGATAAAGCACATGGATGAAGAACCATGACAAATTTCTCTTTTACCCCAAATTATTACATTTTCAAAACAAAGTGACTTGGTATGTTGTCATGATGAAACAACAAGTTCACATTCTTGCACAAATAAGGTTATTTGCAATAATTATGTTTCCTTAAATAAAGGTCAAAACTCAAAAAATTGCAATTAAATTTTTCATTGTCAATCTCATTTGAAGACATGAATTCTTAGTACTTGATTTCCTTTCATAGAGAGAGATAAAGGAAATCAAATATATACAGTCAAAAGTCGTTAATTCGGACACCCATAATCCAGAATGATCTATAATCCGGACCTCAAAGCTAAAAACTTTCTGCGCATGCGCCGCATTGACACATGCGCATAGGCGTTTACGCATGCACGTAAGAGCTTTACGCGCACGCGCATATGCGTGTGCGCAAGTGCAGAATATGTTTTCGCGTGCGCGTTTAATGTATAACAGACGGTATAAGCTAAAATTATATAATTACCTATTTCAGTTAATGTTGATGATTGCGTTGTTCCTTAATCTTCGAATTGGATGCGGCTTATTATTTTTTGCAGACTGTAAGAGCAATTTTATAAAAGTAAACTTTAACTTTCGATTATGTCAATTTCCGATTCTGGAGCTCCCAAAGGATCTACAAAACGAAAGTATGTCTCAATGTCCATCAAACAAAAAGTGGAATTGCTGCAAAAAATGGATAAAGACATGAAGAAGGTGACAGAGAGGTTAGTGAAAGCGAAAAAATTTCGATTGACAAGTTAGTCGGTATTCTCGGCACAGCAATTACAGGAACAGCGGAACTTTGTAACTGAACAAGAAATTATGTCTGTTTATAGAATTAAAGAGAAAGTATTATCACATAAAACGAAACAACTTACATTGAAAGAAATGTTTAATAAAGTAAATAAATAAATATTAAGCTTCTTTTTTTGTTTGATACCCTTTAGATCATAATTGTTCTATATTTCATAAATTATGGTTTCCTATTTTTAATTTTAGATTTTGTGCATGCCATCTTACGAGATTTAAACTGATGATCTATAATCCGGAATCGCCGAAGTCCCGACGAGTTCGGATTAACGACTTTTGACTGTATTAGCTTATACATAAATATAAGTTTTTGAATAATTTTTTTTTTTTTTTTTTTTTTTTTTAATTTTAAGTATTTTGCCATTTCTTTTGCTTTGAGGAGGACCAGAATTTTCGGGTGAACTATTAAATAAATTATATGAATTACATGAATAATTGATATGAAAAATACATTGAAATGGTTCATCAGCTAATTCTGGATACAGAAAAGCAAGGATTTTGTTTTGGAAGGGGAACTGTAATTAAATTCAACATAACTCCTGATGACGTTATGTCAAAGTTGATTGGATTCCTTTTTTTCTAGTTCTTTATATCTTCCTCTTTTTTTTTTTTTTTTTTTTTTTTTTTTTTTTTTTCCCGATAGTTCATTTTAATTTTTATATTTTAAAATATTCTTATTCTACATTATAGGATTTTATGTTCATTTGAATTTCAATTTTTAATCTTGTGAAAAATTGGTTTTATATATTTACTGATCAATTTTGCATGAAAATTCTCAGAAGGATTATAAATTTTCCATTTGAAAAATTATATATATATAAGAATAACACAAATATTAATCAATAAGATGAGGGATAGCAGCCAAACATGAAGAAAGTATCTATTATTGTATTGGTTTAAATTCAGCTTTTTCTTTTTTTATTATTATTCAAATTGACTTCACAGCGATTTGCATATATATATATATATATATATATATATATCAACATTCCATTGATATCCTACTAGCTTACCTAGCCTCTTTGCAGACACTTTCTATGATCTTGAGTATTGATTCCATACATGATACAGTGGTAGAATTCCATAGGTTGCCAGACACACTTGAATTAATGAGTTCCAAAGAACATTGAAAGCATGATGCAAATTAAGACAGAAGGTTACTTTAAGCAGAATGGAGACTGGATTTCATTTTGATGAAGTTTTAAAATTTGGTCACTCTTTCCTTTTTTTTTTTTTTTTTTTTTTAAAGAATAAATTATAGTAAAAAAGATACTGTTCTGTCAATGGGATGCCAGTCACCAAATGTGCATCAATGCACCAAATGCCTATTTACATCATGTCCGCAATAGCACCACTGCGAACAAGTGAGAAGAATGACCATCAGTCCAATAATTTTCCATCCTAGATTTTGTGTTGAAGGGCAGATAATCATTCTTCACCAAATTTGTGCCGGATGCCCAATTTATGAAATTTTTTATTATATTATTTTTTATTTATTTTTTTTTTTTTTTTTTTTTTTAGTGAAAACAGATTGCTGAGTATATAGAATGACAGTTTGAATTGTCTCACATACACAGTAATTAGTTTTTGCTTAAAAAAAACACAGAATTGCACAGTTTGGCATTGTACATATTAAGCATTATACATATTATATTCATGATATAGAATGCAAAGTTTCAGATATGGAACCACTGAGACTTTGGCGATTCCAAGATTTCAGACCATTTACTTTAAATCTAGTAAGATGATATATTGGCATGGCTACATTTGGAACTTCACTTATTATTTTAGTACAGATAGAATAATAACCCCGCTCTCCATAGGGCCAGAACAGGTGCAATTTGTATGGCCACAACAGTGTGGCATAATTTAGGGATGGCAAAAATTTTAGAATTTAGAGGAGCACCGCACTACAAAACTTACACATGGCTGAATTTTTAGAATTTAGGAGAGGCACTGAGCAGCAGAATTTACAGCCCACAGAGATTTCTACAGATTGCATCTTGCAGCAAAATATATAGCTCCAGCAACTCCCACAACAACCATTTAAGGGTCTAAAGTACATTAGTAGCCAACATCAATACAATGTCAATCAACACACTGTTATTGGCAATAGTGTGACTCCTTTGCCAGCATGTGTTTAAAAGTAATACAGTACAAAGTCTTTACATTTTTTCTTTGTCTGTATTGTCTTATCTTTATCTTATTTTATTTATACATTACGTAAAAATATTTGGTAATTATAAAATTATTATAATAAGTTAAAGAAATATCAAAATTGCTAAATTTTTGGCGACCCCCTATTGCAAGTCCCACAAACCACAGTTTAAGAAACTCTGCTCTAAACTAAACTGCTTAAAAACGCAGGTAAATTGTTGATAATATTATTCTGCTAATTATAATATGGGTTATTCCTCTTTTATGTTTAAGTGCTGTCTGTTTAATCATGGACATAATGTATGGTATTACTCAGGCTAATCAAGAGTCTACTTTAAATGAAATGAAAATTTGAAAATAATATGGTCAAATTCCACTAGAATGAACTTTAAGAGACTGAAAGTTTCATTTACTACACCTGATCCAATATGAAAATGGATTATTTCAGAAAAAAATATATATAAACTGACTGATTAATGGCAAGACTAAACAGATAAGCATTGTCACATCTACAAAAAGAAGTGAATAATATTTTTTCAAGAAAAATCATATTAGGGGTTAATTACAATTAAGTGCAATTTTTAATCATATTTTTTATTCTTTCTTACTTTCATCATATGTTAATGGTGATACATTACAAAGTGGTTGGCAAAAAAGTCATGGTTCAGACTCTTTCTTCAAAATGCATCTCTTCCTCAAAAATATATATTTATAACTATGAACAAAAAGTTTTATGACACAATATGATCTCCTAAGACAGTGGCCTCAAACTCAGATTTCATATGTGCTGAATGCACAATCTGAAGCCAGCTAACAGGTGCCTCCCCTTTTTTTTTTATTTACAACATAAAAAGAATTAATAAATTTTAGATTTCACTTACTAAATTTTTATCAATACACATATACAGAAGAAGAACATCACAAGAGAAAATATTCAAATTTATATATATTTTCTATCTGAAAATCTGAAGTTAGTTTTCATACCTGCAAAACATTTTTGTTGGCTATACTTTGTAATTCAAACATATTGACACCAAGATATCAAATTATTAGACTGATATTTATTTCAAATAATTGTACTCACATATTACCCAATCTACCATGAAACTGTTGCCAAGCAGCATGATTTAATGCCAATTATGGATAAACAATTATGGACCAACATATTCACATAATCTGTACTTTTGTTAGAAACAAATCCTATCGATTCTTGATAAGGCACATTTTATTTTTATGAACAATTATTTGAATTAGCTTTTATTGTTGTATTTTTTCTCTGCACTAAAAATATATATGTAATGATTCTAAAATGTGTAGATGACCGACAGTGGAACTTTTAACACCTTTCAATAGTGAATAGAGAAGACCGTAGTGGCTGAAGGTAGGGCTGAGTGGAAAAGCATGATGACACAATTTAATGCAACGTATCTTGAAAAATCACAATCTTTATTTTTATTTTTTTACGTATATCAAATCATCCTTTTTTTAGATAAGATGCTTCCTAATTATATTTGAATGCAGAAGTTGCATTTTGAAGTACGACGTTATCTTCAGCAAGTAAGCAACAGCATACATAAAAAGCATTTTGCTGGCAGCAGAGCTTATGCGAAAAGAAATATCATAGAATTTCAGAGGTATAGGTAAAGTATCATAGAATTTCAGAGGA